CAGGACGTCGGCCATGTCAGCAAGCGGAAGCAGTCCACATCCCCCCCTACTGGGTGGGAGGTAGACTACCTCCGCGCTGGCCCGCTGCGGGAGGTTGAGCCAGGATTCGGCCATACGTCGAACCTGTTTGTCGACCTCGACTAAAGGACGTTTCTCCACGTGGGTTCCCCGCAGGTAGAAGTCGAGGCGTGGCAGTATAAAAGCTGCCAACGATCAACGCGAGAACGTCCGCGTACGCCAGAACACTGTGCCGATGGCCGTGCAGCGTGTAACCCGCCGAGGTTCCGGTAGCTGCGCGCAGCACCGGTTCCAGGGCAAGGTTAAACGCCACAGGACTCATCGGACAGCCCTGGCGCACCCCGGAGAGGATGGGAACGGGGTCGGTAAACCCATCGGCGGTCCGCACCCGCGTCGTGCAACCGTGGTACATGCTCTTCAAGATGTTCTGAAGAGATGAGGGAACCCCGGCCTCCACGAAGGATTGGTAGATGGAAGCGTGGGGGACCGAGCCGAACGCGTTCGATAGGTCCAGCCACGCCACCACCACCTGACGCCCCCACCTGCGAGCGTCTGTAAGGGCTCCCTGCAGCACGAAGTTGTGTTCATAACACCTCTCGTACGGCAGGAAGCCCTTCTGCGCGGGACTCAGGCGCTTGTTCTTGACCGATCACGTGACGAGACGGTCAGCCAAAACAGCGGCGAAGAGTTTCGGGGTCGTGTCGGACATAGCTAACGTCCGCCAGTTCGACAGGTCATCGCGATCACCCTTCTTATGCACGAGCACAATGTTGGAAGTTCTCCAACACGAGGCGACCGACTCCAGACGCAGACATACATTGAACAATGAGGTCAGCAAATGTGACCCCGGATCTGCCCTTTTCAGATCATTGTAAGTTAGACTGTCGGGACCGGGCGCAGAGTTTGTCATACGCCTGATCCGACGACCTACCTCACTCACTTCAAAGGGCTTCACCAAGGCCACATTGCTGGCCTCGTCTGGAGCCTCGATGGAAGGCGGGGGAGGCCTAGCTCCCAGGTTCCCCGCCGGTGAGTACATGTTGAGAAAGTACTCATGTATCCTGTCCTTAGGCACTTTGCAGTGCAAGGATGGGCCCATGAGCACCTCCTGGACAGCACGCCGGCGGTTCTGCCTGAAGAGCCGTTGTATCCGCGTAGCCTCCCTTACCTGGTCTCCCCGCGTTGGTCCACCTGCTAACACAGGACGATCGCGGTGACCGTTCGAACCGCGAGCCGCTTGGTCGCCCGACACGCCCCCAGCTCTCGCACGCTGTTGGGGCCTATCCATCCCGCCCCCTCTCGTGGTCGGTCCCTCGACTCTGAAGCCCTGAAGGTATGCTGCGATTTCCCTCGCAACATCCTCCAGCTGCTCCAGGGAGCCAGCGTTCTGCGCCATGCCGATCAGCAACTCTCTCTCCGAAGGAAACGCTTCCCCGACCAAAGGCCGGATGGCGCCCCTTCTTCGAGAGGGCTGTCCGGATGCCGCAGGACGCCTGGGCTCTCGAGGTCCCGAAGCACGCGAGGGTGTGGCCGGTCGGCGACTTCTCGCAGGTGCGGTCCCCTCCGTCGCGGAGGCAGGAGCACCCCTCACGGTTGCATCAACGGGGACGGGCCTCCGATTATCCCTCCCCGTGCGATTTAAAACTACCTCTTCCCGCAAAGTAAAAAGGGAGCCGGGGGCACTACGTGGGACGCTCGGGAGTCGCGAAGGGCTAAACGATGTTACGCTACTCACTGAGGGCGCTCCGGAGCACCCTGCTCCAGGCCGATGCGCTATATTACGCGCAGTGCTGTTGTTGTTATTATTGCTGCTGCTGCTGCTGCCCGGTGGCGGCCGGGCGGGGGACTTTTCCCGCGGTGGTAGAGGAGGCGTCGTCCTCTTCTCTGGCGGCAGCGGCTGCGCCTCCTCTTCGGACGACGAGCTCGACGACATGATCCCGCGGTGGTGGCGTCGGCGGGATCCAGCGGCGATTCGCCACGGCTCCGGTGAAGAGTCGGGGCTTACGGCTGCCCCGACCGGCTGCGGCACCTCCACCTCTTCGATGGGTGGGAGGAGCGGGGTCGCTGGTGATGGTGGACGCGGCCTGGCCATCATCGCTCCTCCCACAATAGGCAGGGGGGGTCATAATCGGCCCCCCGCTGCAGGTGGTGGTAACAGTGGAGGTGCACAACGCCACCATGCTCGCCGACGTTACCGGAACCGGAGCCCCCTGCTCGCCACGGATGGTCGGCGGCGTCCTGGGGCTCCGGTGCTTCCTTGGTGGGGGGCTGCGTTTGGGTGGTGTTGGCCCTGGCGGTGATGGTGTACGGGTTGCAGTACGCAGCCCCCTTTCCGGTACGACGTCTGTCGGCGAGGGGGGTGACGTTAGGGATGGAGCGCCCGCTGTGACGGCGGCGTATGATGATGAGGCCGCCGTCCTTACCCCAGAGGGTTTCCGTTGGGCGGCCCGAGGTGGTGTGGGGCCGCTGGAGGGACTCTTTCCCTGGGCCACCGCCCTTGGTGATGGAGTTTGGGCGGTGGGAGTCCCTCCTACTCTCGGGGGCGTTCTTCTGGCTCCGGTCTGAGCCGCTACCGTCCTCCGGGTGGTGGTGGGCGGGGTCTTGACGGGCGGGGTCCTCGTTGGAGGGGTGCCAGTCGACCCCCTGGTAGCGGGGGCCGTTCTTCTGCCCGGTGGGGTGGGCCTCGTTGTGGTAGCGGCTGAGGGACCGGAGCCCCTCCTGGTAGCAGGCGCCCTTGCAGCCGGCGGCGATGTCCTAAGGGCAGCCGACCCCGATCGCCGCGGCGGACTGCCGCTTTTTTGGACCGGTGGCGTCCCCTTAGGTTTGGGGTAGGTTGGTTGTTGAGGGGGTGGGGGCGCGGGCCGGGCGTTGGTGGTCGGCCCGATCGTGATGGTGAGCGTGGGAGTACTGGACGGCGGCGTGCGATACGACGTCGTCATAGCCGTCGCAGCCGCCGTTACCAGCACCCCACGCAACGATGTTTGTTTAAGGGCCCGCGCCTTGCCCCCCGTCGCCACCGGTCTCAATGTCGTCGTCTTCGTCGTCGTCCTCGTTGTCCTCGTCCTCGTTGTTGCTGTCCCCGTAGTCGTTGATGCTGTTGTTGTTGATGCCGCTGCCGCCATTGTGCGCCGCGTCGGCCAGGTGGTGGTGGCCGTCCCCGCTGAATCCCTCGCCGTTGTAAGGGTGTGGGTGGGCGGCGACGTCGCCGCGCATGTCGAATGCGGGGGCGGGGACTGGGCCGCCGTATTGGCAGCAGCTAGCGCAGCTGCGCGCGGTTCTGCGGGGGCGAATATCGCGGAACTCCCCCGACGCGAGGTGTTGCTCGAACCGGTCGAACCTGTCACGGGAGGTGTACAAGTCCCACACGGGTTGCTCTGGTGGGCGGATGTATGTAAAAAGTCGTGGTGCAGCTTCACCACCTTGAGAGGATACCTCCCATCGCCGGTGAAGCTGCACTCACGACACTTGTATGTAACAACAACGCCCGGATGGTGCTTCCGGGCGTGCTTCGTCAAATCCGTATGGGACTTGTACACGCCACTTATCCTAATCCCGGAGACACCGAAGCAGGCCGGGCATCAGAACTCCGCCGGGAAAGGGAACTCGATAACCAAGGCGAGATTATTACTCCCCTCGGTAGTGCAGGAGGTGACTGACGCACTATCACCGCGGTCCTGCATCGCTCTTAAGACTAAGTCCTACGCTACGAGTGAGACAGAAGAAGAAAGAGAGACAGAGTGGCTGTGGCAAATATTTCTAAATGCCACAGCGAGGCGAAACGGGGAAGATAGACTAAGTGGGAATGACAGAGGATGAGAAGAGAAAACTAAGTCCGAAAGCGACAGAAGGAATACCGCCACGCGGTAACACCCTACTGACTCCGCCGGCGCTAAGTCCGGTGTCTAAGACTGCCTGGAAAAATGACAGCCTCCGACGTGGCAGTCGGTAGGGAGACTAACGGATGACGGTTGCGGAGGAGTGCAGCGATCTCGATGGAGGAAGAGCGACGGAATCGCCCACTCCACCGAGGACTGCACGGGGGTTGCACCGCAGG